TAATTAAGTTGCACATTTTTCTCATGATATCATTGTCTATTGCAAGAAAACAGAAAAAGTATGATCGAATTACAGACATCAGTAAAACAAGATGACACTACTCGTACCCGGCGTACACCAAAACCGGGGTATCTTAACCTCTCTAATATTTGATGGGTATTGTATTGTAGATGGGGCGGGAGGGGGAATAGGTTTTCGGATCGTCGGATTTCGGATCTGGCGAATATTTTACACGGAATGGCGGATCTTATTAATACCGCTGATTGCAGATTTATCTAATATTTTAGCTCGGATTGTGGATTTAGCTTGCAATTTAGTTCGGATCCTGGATTGTGACTTCATAGTAGAGGTTTTAGCGGATTCAAATTTAGACAAGACCATTGTCGGATCGCGGATTTTGCTTCAAATTTGGGCGGATCGGCGGATTTGTATACCCCTATTCACTCCCCTCGTAGATGGAAATGAAAGGAATTATTGCAACGGAGAGATGTTGTTTCGCTCAGCTTCTGAAAGTTGTATATCTCGTATCGGATAGGTGCTTTTTCGCGTCGCTACGGAAATCTATCTGGCATAGGGCAAACGCAACCCAACCAAATCACTTACAAATATTCAAATGTACGCATTTTTCCTCAACAGATAAATCCTAGTAATGTTGATATTTGATACTATACAATAAACAGAAATTTGTGTGGAACGCATAAAATCTACAGCGTCCTTCCTCACGCATCTCTATAATATAGGGGTCGCCTCGAGTTGAGATTATTAACACAACATTTTCTAGCTCTATGAAATTATACGCAGCAAAATCAAGACTGACGAATTGACAAAATATCTGTACGTAAGCGGTAAGCTTCATTAATCTTGTTATTATTCACACCAATTTTCCTCGCTCGTGATTCGTGGCCGGAAGCGGTCGACTTGTGCGAATTAAAAATATGGTTTGCTTAATTTAAATGCAGCGATTTGAGAGATTTTATTTTACAGCATGAAATAGCACTTATTGTCTCAGAAAAATATGTGTAGCCCGTTAATCTTGTCTATAAACCCTGCTTTTAGTGGTGTTAGATTGCTACCAACAATGTGTTATAGTGTTATTATTCACACAAATTTTCCTCGCTCGTGACTCGTGGCCGGAAGCAGTAAATGTTGTAAAATGAAGAAAATAAAGCCCTGTGAAGTTTGCAAATTTTCTATATATCTGTGTTACGTACGCGTGCCGCGTGGTAAAAGTAACCACTTTTGGCTCAAAAATGCAATCTACCTATGTATTATCAGTGAATGGCGCACACATATGAAAAGAATTGGAGTGACAGTATAAAACAAGATTTAATGTTTACGGTTTCATAGAAAATGCGGGTTAAGGGTGGCGCCGGGTTGCGAATAGATTCTGTATTTTTTTAAAATTGTAATCAAAACTCAAAAAATTCTAATTTTAAAGAATTGTTAATGTCCTAAAAAAATGCTGATAGTTTTATAATTTGTATAATCCGTGAAATAGTATATAAGAAAATGTAATAGTTTTCGCAACTACATTTTCTAATTCATTGTCAAGTTTTACTTTAAATGACATGTTTTCCTTCTCCTTTTTATAAATAGATTTATTTATTTAAAAGCCCGCTAGGATAGGATTGCCTTAAGGGCCTGTTCCGTATGAGCCCGGACAGGTGTGACGCGAAATTCCTGACTTGCGAAATATCTGACTATTGTAGAACTGCCCATGCGTAGACGATGTGCATGAATGACTTTGGCTCATAAATTTCGCAACTCAACAGACAACACGTGTATTTATAAAGCATTACTATAAGCACCAAAAATTGTTTCGCGTTTGACCTCAATTGTCACGATTTCCGTAGCAAACAGCAACAATGAGTTCGTGAGTTGCCGAGTTGGCCGTTTAGATTTGGCGATGTCTATATTAGAAACATTTGTGTTACGTCATGGCAAGAAAAATATACGGATCGGAATCTCACGTTCAGAGTTTCACGTTTTGAAAAACATTCCTAATAGTTATGCCATTAGTTATTCCTATTACAAAATTACGCCTCATCTCGCGAATATATGGCCGACAGCAAACAACAGGAAACGCGGCATTGGTCATGACACCTTCTCGACAATTAACAGATCTTAAACGGCGGCGTCGACAGACTTTCATGCCTTCACACACTCTGCAAACCGCAATAATAAATATTTATACTATGAAATGTGCAACTTTAAAAATCCATGTCGTACAAGTATATACCACGTTAAAGTTTTGTTTTTCCGAAAGTATTTATTGTTACGAACAGATTACTATAGATAAGATGAAGTAGTTATAGTTTCCCGCCATATATCGCGGGCTCGGACACGTTGGGAAAAATAGATTTTATACTTTTATATTCTAACCGAGTTGGCGGTTAAAAATGCAATAAATTTGTCATAAAAATAGAGATTTTGAGTTAAACTAGGCAAGAACCAGCAAATCAAACTACGTTCTCAAGTTGGTGAGAACATTTGGACCTTCGACAGCCGGATTTAATCGGGAAATTTGGCAATTAAAACGAAACACAAGATCGTAAAAATCCAAGATGGCGGATACTTCTGGGACTTTGAAAAGTATAGAACGACTGAAACGTGAGAAAAGAAATGCAAAGACAAGGCTTACAAGAGAAAGAAACAAATTATACGAGCTCCTATCAACAACAAAAGCAAGTAAGAACACAATTAGACGATATATTAGTAAAATCAAATCAGAATTTCTTATAATAGAAAAATTACTAAACAAATTGAAAGAAATGTTTATATTCGAGAGCATACCAGAATCGGAAACAGAGGTAGAAAAAATAGAAAGAGAAATTGATGAAATAGGCAATCAGGTGGATGTCATTATAGAAGCTGCGGAAACGCATTTAAAAGAAAGATTGGAAGGGGGCGAATTGGAATCAATAGCTCCATCAGGCTCAACCCATTCCGAGTATGAAATACAACAATCAGAGATAGAGGCAGCAAACAAAAGAGTCTTAACATTACAAACAGAGGAAAACCAAAAAGAGGAAGAGCTTCATAGGAAAGCTGTAGAACTTGAACTTGCAAAACAAAGAACAGATGAGGCACGTAAGATTGTTTGTATTATTGATGCTAGTTCTCATAATACCACCCCCAAAACAGCACATGACTCTGATGAAACATGTTCCCACAGTCAATTACCACAACAGGTACCAGGTCCTAGTACCCCCTGAATGAGATGAACCCTAATCAGTTTACACCACAACAAACCCTGGACCCTAGTGCCCCTCCATCTGAGACACACCCTAGTCACCTCCAAACACAAACCCTAGACCCTAGTGCCCCTCCACCTGAGACACACCCTAGTCACCTCCAAGCACAACAAACCCTATACCCTAGTGCACCTCCACCTGAGACACACCCTGGTCACCTCCAACCAGTTATTAACAGTTATTACAAAGTAATAATTTAACGAATTAACTAGACTATATGGCAGGGTATTCGCAACAGCGCAGTAATTGGCTAATCGCTGTTGCGAATACCCTGCCATATAGTCTAGTTAATTCGTTAAATTATTACTTTGTAATAACTGTTAATACTATCTGGCAAAGTTAATAAATTAAAATAAATTAACCACAACAAACCCTAGACCCCAGTGGCACAGCATTTACCTCATCCCAGTCCCGCAACGACCCATCCCAGATCCTGACTTAAGTGATCATGGTCTTTCCTCTCAAGGTTATCCTGCCCAGTTTCCATGGCAACAAACCTCCAAACCTGTTCTGAATAGATATTACCCTAACACATACCAGCTACATACCCAGTTACCAGCTACATACCACCTGTTCTTGACAGCATGGTATATTCGAGACAACAACCACGTATACCTTATACCTGGCAACCATCACCAGCAGCACCAAGTTTAAAAAACCCGACTTCACACAGGGTGGGGCCCATTAAATTAAAAGGTTCGGACTTGCCAACATTTGATGGGGAAGACAAAGTAGAATACGAACAGTGGAAAGCTGCGTTCACATCTGCTGTTGACTATGCAGACATACCAGTTAACGAGAAAATGTTGAGGCCGCAAAACAGTTTGAAAGGAAAAGCACTTAAATTGGTTAAAGATCTATGATTTTCCTCTAATGCTTATGAGAGAGCTAAACAAAAATTAGAAAAGAAATATGGAGGTCAGACGAGACTTCAAATTAAGACATTGACCGCATTGAAGAATTGGAAAAAGGTACAATCCGAAAATTTAAGTGACTTGGAAGAATTTTTGAGTGTGTTGGACAGACTTTGATAACTTTGAAGGACACTTGTGAGAAACAAGGAGACCTTTTCGGTCAGAGTTTGAATCTGATAAGTAAAGAAAAATTACCAGAAGAAGATGTACAATGTTATAAGTCATGGCTGATAGAGCACTCGAAAGAGGATACTTTTGAAACACTAGCTTGTTGAGTGGGTAGAGCTAAGAGTTCAGATAATGGAAGAAGCTAAACAAGAAACAAAAGGCCTGGGAACTAGTAAAGAGAGAAATGGTGACCAAAGGATAAACCACGGAAGAAGAGAAAGAGGTTTCAACACAATGTCTAAAGGCAATCTCAAGTGCGTTGTGCAGACATGCAAGAACAACCATCCTCCCTGGACCTGTGATGCCTTTAAAGCATTATCAGTATCAAATCGAAAAGCATTGATGAAGAAATCGAGACGGTGTTACCGATGCTTGGGTGTTGGACACAAAGTAATTGAATGTACTCGAGCAAGACGGTGTGACGTCGACGGCTGTGATAGTACCCAGCACAATAGATTACTTCATACCCCACGTAGACTAGACCAGAACTGTCAAACTGGTTCTCATTTGGTTACCCCACAACAGGCGATGAACGATTTCAGCCAGCAAACCAGGAGCAGATTACCAGATGATAAGGACAGTGCACAACAATCAGGAGCAGGTGAAAAAACGGCTGATACTAGATCTTATGTCACTCACCGCACAGACCACATATCGCTAATGGTGTTACCAGCTATTATCAAGAATGATAAGAAAGAACTGAAGGTATGTTAGACCCTTGTTCCACCGGTTCATATGTGACGGAAGCTGCTGCTGAAGAATTGCAATTGAACGGAGAAACGCATTACCTGACAATGTGATAGTGGATCCCAAGTTAAAAAACAGTCTAAACAAGTAAACTTGGTTGTCACAAGTTTAAATAGAAACTTTTCAGAGAACTTATCTGCTAATGTTCTGGACAATATAACTGGAGACACACCCTCCTTTAATTGGGCAGACTTGAAAGCAAAGTGGCCCCATTTGGCTTCCATTTCCTTTGAGCAAACGTCAAGACGAAAGCAGATTGATGTGTTGATAGGCAGCGATCCCCATTGTTTCATCATGTTCTGGAGGAAGTGCACGGTAGTAAAACTACAGACCCAATAGCAAGACTTACCAATTTAGGTTGGGTTTGCTTTGGGCCTATCATCGTTGAGGAACATCGGCGTAAATCGCGTTCATATTTTACGCGTACTTACCGTTCAACCAAGGTTGAGCAGCCAACCGTTCAGCAACAAGACCACCAGCTCTGACAATTCTGGGAGCTTAAAGCTCTGGGAATGAAAGACACTGACGACAGAACCTTTGACGAGAAAGAAGCAGTAGTCAAGGTAACAGAGAGTACAATTTATGACAAGGGAAGATATTCTGTGGGAATCTCTTGGAAGAAAGAAGAACCAAACTTGAACAATAACTATGATATGGCGTTAATAAGATTTAAGAGTCAGGAGAAAGCGCTCAAAAGAAAAGGCTCCGAAGCAACGCACACATCTAACAAGATAATTGAAGATTACGAGAAGAAGGGTTATGTGAAGAAGATAGAAAAGGCAAATGAAATAAACCAATGGTTTTTGCCACATTTTGCTGTAATCAAGGAAGAAAGAACCACTACAAAGATACGAATCGTATTTGAAACTTTCTCAAACTCAAGTACTCTTACCTTGTTCACACAGTCTACGATGTTGAATTACCCTGTACCTGGTCCTAACTCAATGTGTGCTCCGTACTCCGTGTTTTACTAATAGCCTGAAAAACCTATATAGTATTAAATTTTCGACAAATGTCCAATTTACACTGAAAATTTGAGTTTCGAAGAAAATGCTTATCCTTTGCAATATCAGCAAAAATTCGGCGAAATGATAAACCCTTTTTAAGCGATTACAGTCATAACAAAAAGTCTTGTCTAATGCTCATGGTAGTATGTGGGGTCGCGAATTTATTGTGTTGATAAATTCAGACGTGTTTAACAATTAGCTCATACTGTACAGTAAATTTAAAGTTCGAGCTCATGTCGATCATAAAAGGATTTTGTTTTTCTACTGCTTCGTGCTCCGTGTGCTTCCTGCTCCGTGTTTTAGTAATAGCCAATTTAAAATGTCAGCGATTATTTTTTCCGATAATAAAGATTTTTTTCTGTCATTGCATTTGTTTTGCAAGAACGCACAAAGAACGCCGATATACGTTATACTTGACTTATTGAACATTGTGCCATCTGTTGTAAGTAAATGTTTAATAAAATGACTTGTAGGTACTTAGCAGAAAGCAAACTTTTGCCTTATTACTCATATAATCGATTTCAAAAATGTCTCGCGACGGGATATTAACACCATACGCGCTCCAAATATATTCTTTATTACAGGCTATTAAAACATTTTAAAGACACTGGATTTCCTTCTATTTTTTCCAATTAAATTTTTTTAATTAAATTACTTCTTACAGACAGGTACTTAGCAGAAAGCAAACTTTTGCCTAATTAGATATAATCGATTTAAAAAATGTCTCGCGACGGAATATTGAAAACAATACGTTCTCCAAATATATTCTTACAGGTTATTAATAATTTCTTATTAACCAAACGCGAGGTTTGTACAAAAAGACCAAGGTCCGGTGTTTTTCTATACATACCGACCAAGCGAGGTTGATAAAAAGTTTATCATATGGCATTTATAGGCATTTATGCCTAAGATAAACAAGAAACGCCTGATTTGAAATGTATATTAGTAGCGTGGTACACTTTCGGTCGAAGAAAACAAAAATATCAAATTAAACTACAATTTTCAAATTTTCAATTGGTTTTGCTGTTTTGTTTTAAAATACATGCGTTTGTTTTTACGTAATGGATCGCGCCTGTTTATTACGGGGAAATACCATTATTTCCCTCTCAGCCAATCACAGTCCGCCATTTCACCGGAAGTGATACAGGCCTTATAATAAAAAAAATTAAAGACACTGAATTTGCTTCTAGGATTACTATACAGGAAATATGTTTGAAATTTGTTTTATTCCAAATATAAATATTTTATCTAGCTAGCTCTTGTGCTTTAATTGTCAAGAGTAATAGAGAGTTTAAGTTCGACTTCCGATACCAATACCGATACTAACAACGTACATGTCATGCGCATGCTCTCTGCTCGCAAGAAACACGAGGACAAGTGTACTGGAAGTCACCACTACCGAAGTCGGCCTTGTATTGGAAGTCGGGGGAATTGTAAGATAAACTCATATAAATCGGATATTTCGTCATTTTTACGATAAACATGTAAACTATTTGATTATTAGCATCGCCTGAGTCATGTTTTAGTCGGAATTTTAGCTCAGCTGCCGTTTAGTATACCGCACAATTTCGGTGACGATTAATGTGTTCTATACTTTATCTGTCGTGATAACTTAACGCTTTAAAATTCCCGGTACCAAAATGAGAACGTTGGAAGTCGAATTTAAAGTAGCCCGCGTGCAGGCCCAAGGGAACTGATAGTGGGCCTGCAAGCAAGGCCCGGTATTTTGTAAAACGCCCCTTTTCATAACACGCCCCATTCGCGCGTCAATTATAAAAAAAGAACCAATGACAGCACCCAAATATTAACAAACAAACTCGCATTAAAATGTTGCGAGCTTTTCTCTGCTTATTCAGAACATAAACAATGTCTAAATGGCTACGTTTTAAGTCCAAAAAAGCAAGCAACGCAGTCAGTAATTGTAGATTATGCAAGTCTGTTTTAACAGATGCAGTATAATATTAATTATATGAGAGATATGAGACGACATTTAACAATGCATTATCTTTATTATTCACTCCTTTTTAACGTATTTACAGTGAATTTAAAGTATATCAACTATAACCATAACAAAATAACGTTCTCAGTCCATCCTCACATCACCGCTGACCTGCGCCCTCCGTTCGTCTTTTTGTGAACGACCTATAAAACATTTAACAATGCATAGGGAGGGATTAACCATGCGAGGCGGGAATGCATTGTTAAATCATAGTTAATAGAAATAATAAACATGGTTAGGAAGGCCGGGTCACGTGATCACATATGTTATTGTCTCGTCGTAATTGAAATCCGAGTGCACAATGGCGCATTCATTAATAGAGTTTATTAAGGACCACCTTGGTTTT